TTTTTAAGTATTCAGTAAATACTACTCTTCTAGACTGTACTTATACTCAACCCCCAATAAGCCCTCTGATAAAGAAGTGTTGTTTTATCATACAAAGCTGTAGGTAAGAAAATGAAATGCCCACTCCTATGTCCTACTGAGCCCTATCAAAAGGCCAAGAAATTATAATATGTTGAATTAATCAGATTTTATAGCAAATATCCTATACAAAAACCTGGAAGTGAAACTTCAAAAAAAAATACAGAAGGAGCCCTGGCCAGTGTGGCTCAGTTGGTTGCGTTCCTCCTGTGCACTGAAATGTCACCAGATCAATTCTCAGTCAGGGTACATGCCCAGGTTGCAGGTTTGATCCCTGGTCGAGGTGCATGCTGGAAGCAACCTGTTGATTCTCTCTCACATCAAAATGTTTTTTTCTCTCCCTCCCCCTTTCTCTCTCTCTAAAGTCAATTTTTAAAAAGTCAACTTTTTTTATATTTAAAAAAATAATAAAATAAAAATCCAAAAGGATGATGAGTTTTGTAGTATTCAGACACGTCATGATGTACAACCATAATTACATGAAGTGTGTTTGAGATGCTTTCTGTTCAAAAGAGTCAAAGGTTCTCCGTAACTGAGTAACTTCCTTGGCCCCTTTCTGTTTTCAGGAGACTCTCTCTGGATGGTGCAGTGTTTCCGATGATTTCAGTGGCTTTACATACGCTGGTGACTAACAGATGCTTATCTCCAGCACAGACCTCTTTCCTGAGGGCTGGACCCACGTGGCTGGGCTCTGAGTCCATGTGGGCGTTGCCATTTTCCACTCCCGTTCTGCTCCTTCGCTTGTATCTCCTGACTTACTAAATGCCAACACCATCCACTTGGCAGCTCAAGCCAGGCAGCTAGCACTTTCCTGAACCCTCCCCGTCATTCAGCCCTGACGTCTGGTCAGCCCTTAGAGCCTTTGTGTTCTGCTTCCTTCCTGTCACTTAAGCACACCCACTCCCTATCCCTACGCTACACGAGCTCAGGTACTCATCACTTCCCCACAGATGCGCAGCCTCCTAACTCATCTTCCCTTCTCAATCCATTCTTCATAGCAGGAGGACCATTTTATATAATTAATTAATTTATTTATGTAATTGTTAATCTTCACTCGAGGATATTTTTCGATTGATTTTTAGATAGAGTGGAAGGGAGGGAGGGGGAGAGAAAGAGAAAGAGAAACATCGATGTAGGAGAGACTTATTGATTGATTACTTCCCACATAACTCTGACCAGGCCGGGGATCCAACCTGCAACCCAGGTACATGACCTTGACTGGGAATCAAACCCATGACCCCTCGATCCAGGGGCCAACACTAACCGCTGAGCAAAATCAGCCAGGGCAGGAGAACCATTTTAAAAGTCAAAGTTGATCACACCCTTTCCCTGCTCAAATGAAATAAAAGTCCTTTGTGCCTTACTTCCTGTCCATCTCGGTGAGCACAGATTTTATCCTTTCTTCTCTCATCCTCTGAACCAGAGCTGTAGGAGTCTTTGAATGTTTGTTCTGCGTTTCGCCCTGCTTTTGTATCTATTACTACTCTCCCTACTCTTCCTCCCCCCCTTCCCTTAGCTACTTTCTTCTTATCCTTCAAAACCCACCTTCCCCCTGGAAGCTTCCCCAAGTTACCCTTGGGTTAGTCACCCCTTCTGTGTATCACAGCAGACATGGTCCTAGTACTGACACAGTATTGTAACTTTATTCTCTCGTTCCCTGCTGGGCTGAGAGATCCTTGAAGGCTGAGACTTTTTTTCCACCCCTCAATTCCCAGAGCCATGCATGGGGTCTGGCTATTGCACGTCCTCAGAAAAGTTCAGTCTATCGACTAAGTGAAGTCCTCTGCAGTGAGCTCATGTGCTCCTGTGCAGCTTCTCACTGGAAAGCAGCCTAGGCTAAGGCTACAGAGAAGTGGATTCTACTGAAGTGGGAGAATTTGTTCAAGCAAGGCACAGATTAAGATTTCTCAGATGCTAGTCAGTGAGGCCTGATTAATGGAATGTGTCTCTCGTAAACACAAAGAAAAAAGTCTTAGCAGTTGCCAACGTTAGCACAGCAGCCTCGAGGAACACAGTCAGTTAAGTGGGAGAGAGCCTGACCCTGTGCACCTGCAGACAGACATGAACGAGGAGCACAGGCACGAGCTCAGGGATTCAACAATCTCACCAGAAGCATGTTTAGAAGCCCCCATCTGATTTGTTGCCAATAAAATACAGTGATACCTCGGTTCTCGAACATAATTCGTTCCAGGAGGACGGTCGAGAACCAAATTGTTCGAGAACTGAAGCAATGAAACCCAATAGGAAATAATGGAAACTGGATTAATTTGTTCCAAGCCCCAGAAAATGCCTATTTACTGGCCTAATTTGTATATAATATGTAGAAAAACATAAGTCTCAACAAGAAATAAAAGTGTACAGTATGTCTAAGGGTTAAATTCAGTGTAAAGCGTGACTCTCTCCACAAAGCGTGACTCTCTCTCTGCACTCACACTGACGACGCAAGCAAGGCGCGCTGGGCCGAATGAACGCCATTCGGCTCAACTCGGCTCATCTCGGAAGTTCGAGTTCCAAATATTTGTTCGGATTCCGAGACAAAAGTTTCTCGAATCTCCTGGTCGAATACCGATTTGGTCGAAAACCGAGGCGTTCGAGAACCGAGGTATCACTGTAAAATAAAAAGATCTTTTCCCCCTTGTTTTTGTACTGTAAATTCTCAATGTGAGAATACATATTTGGCCCCTACAGTCCTTATCAAACTTATACCTCAATTAGATATTTTTTAAAATGAGTTTTGAGCAAGAACTTCATCCCTGACTTGGGAACAGCATCTATTCCTATTGTTTGGGCTACACAAACAACTTCACGATCGTTATTTCCAAATCTTCCCGTCTTCTGCTGAACACCTGCCTCCTTGGGTCCAACGTGCTTATCTTTCTACCTGGACTTCTCCAGTCCATGCCATGCTCACGTATTTTCAGTCTATCTCTCTCCACAGGGCATGTTATCTACTGCTGGTAAGCCATGCCGCTAGTCCTAATGATGGCAAACCTTGCAAAAGCCTCTACTAAAGAAGGCTGGGCTTTTGGCTTCACCGCCCAGCGGAAAATGAACGACTCTCAACTTGGGAACCCATGAGGGCACAAGCAACTTACTGATTTTGTCATCCAAGGGCGAATAAGGTAGAGGTGCTGCCTTCAAATGCGATGTTGGCTTGTAAGTAAACAGCTCTACAGCCCCAGCAGAGGCAGCCTATGATTTGAAGCTGGCCCCAGGAGTAGGAATTATGAATATCACCAAACCAGTCATTTGACGACTTGCTAAGTGATTCTCAGTCACCCTTGGAAGATCTGTCTCTCAGAAAATTGTACTTACCAGAAAATGCAATACTGTTGCTTATGTTTTCTATCTTAAAGTAGAACTTAGCAACATTTTAGGGTTTCCAAAGTTGAGTGTGAATAGATAAGCATTGATTAGAAACGCTAAACCACAATTTCTTTTTTTTTTTTTATCCTCACCTGAGGACATTTTTTCCATTTTTTGTTCAGATAGAGTGGGAGGGAGAGAAAGGAAGAGAGAGAGAGAAAAAAACATCGATGTGAAAGGGCCGGGGACAAACTGTAACCAAGGTACGTGCCCCTAGCGGGAACAGAACCTGGGCCTCTTTGGACCGCAGGCTGCCGCTCTAACCGCCGAGCCAAACTGGCCAGGGCCTAAACCACAATTTCGAAAACTCCAGGGCACTAAAAAGAAAATCTAGTTTGACTAACCGGTGGACTATCTTTTTTCTCAAAGTTGTCATTCCTCCAGCCTTCTGCCAGCCAGGTCCATGTCCCCTCTTTCCACCGCTGACACTCAGGAGCGTGGAGAGCACTTCCATCTCTCCCTCCCCAGGTCCTCCCTCCAGTCACGCTGCAGCCGAGGTGTGCGGCTTCTGTCTTTTCCCCCCTTTCTCCTTCCTCCTCTTTCCCGAACGTTGACTGCCGCCCCCTGAGCACTGGACTACCTGGTATATTAATCTTACTTCCTTGAATAAAATAATATCTTGATGTCCTCACTGCCAACCCACTTGACATTGCTGCTTATTTCCCTGAAACATGTCTTGAATCATGTCATTCCGCTGCTCAACAATTTTCAGAGGAGCCCCGCCACTTACTAAACTGATCCTACAATGCCAGATTGTCAACCTACCTTCTCGGGTAGTTCTCTATTTTTGTACTTTTCTCAGGTAGCTCTGTATTTTGTTATTTCAGCTTTGGGTGCATATTGGCTGTTCTTTCCTCACAATTTGTGCGGTCCTGCCTCTGGACTCTGGCTCATGCAGTTTCACTCAAGTTACCTGGTTTGAGTGCTGGTTCCATTATTTACTAGCTTTGTGTTTCTGTTTCTTTGTTTATGATATGACAACCATAACAGCACCTACTTCATCGGGGTTTGTGATGATGATATGAAGACGTCCATACAAAGCCCTTCGAAGAGCCCCAGCACAAAGGACGTATTCAGTAAATGTTGGTGATCACGATTATCATCATCATCCCTTTCAAGGACTATTTTAAATCTACCTCTTTAGTGAAGCCTTTTTTAATTGCCCAGCTCAATGTTATTTTCCCCTCTTTTTGTATGTCTAAATAGCATCTGACATGTAATACCCTGCTTCAGAATAGTGTGTGTGCTTATCTTGACCTGGACTGGACTCTACACTTAAGGTTGAGAAACGTTTATTTATCATCGGATACTCAGAAGGACCTTGTATAGCACCTGGCACATCAAAAGGACTTAATAAATACTCACTAAATTAAAATAATTAGATTTTACTATTTTAAAAACTCTTCCAAAAGCTGAGAAAAATAGTAAATAAAGATAAGTAAATAGAATGCACACCTGGATTACAAGGATGTTGCAGGTGGAAGACACTGAGACTGATGCTATTAGAATGCACGACTAGCCCTGATAACATCCTTTCATCCTGTTCTCCATTGCAGGTCTGCTTAGTGGCCTATCTTGGTTTGTTTATGCTTTGTGTCTCATATCAAGTTGACGAACAGACATGTATCCAGTTCGTTATGAAAGTAAGTTGTCATTTTTCTTTTTCTTTTATTGTCACAAAGAAACACAAGTACAAAGTAAAGGAGTGCTTTTTAAGGGGTTGCATATCTGATTATCCCAGAAATTGCATTTTTAGGCTGGCCAAAAAATGTTTTAGGAAGGCATTCATCCAGACTCCAAATGTAATGCTAATTTTTTTTAAAGTCTTAATTTCCATGAACTGGGTTGGCCCAGAGCATCTGAAGTCTGTCCTTCCATGCCCTTAAAAGGAATATTGAAAATTCATCAGTTCAACAAAACACTTTGCCAGGGAAAAGATGCCTATGTCAGTGCCCACTTCCATACCTTGGGGGTTATTTAAAATATTTTAATAACGAAGCAGTCTAAGTGTATTTCCCCTCGTGGATGGGATCACTGAGACAGAAAAAAGTACATTAGGTGCATCCAAATGATCTGTGTCAAGAGTTTGAGGGCAAAGGGGACAGGGAGTTAGGATGTGCATGGTTTAGCAAGTATGTGTGTGTCTTTCATGTGTTTTTCTCTGTTCGAGACAGCATGCTTGGGTGGAGCCGGTTCAAGTACACAGCATTTCCACTGCACACAGAACGTATTCCAAAGGGAAACATAGACACGCCCTTTCAGAGTTTAGGGAGATAAATATCCAACTCAGCAATCAAGCCAGTAGAAATCAAATCCCTACATTTTCTTTCAACTGCTGTAGCAGAGAACAAAAAGCTTTCTGTAGGTTTTGTTGTTGTTCACTCACATCATTTACTTTTCTTCTACAAGAAAATACATAAAAACTGGATACTCCTTTGTTCACTAAAACAAGAAAGCATAAGGCGTAAGAGTAAGTTAACTATATTATTTGGAAATTACGAAGATGCAGAAAATAAGATGTTAGTATATTCTACTATATTTGAAGTGTTTTTATATTTGTGTGTGTGTATATGTGTATATATATATAATGTAAAACAGTAATTATTGGAATAAAAAATATTCACATTACATTAACTACAAAAAGCTGGCTACACAAAATGTACGGCATGATCCTATAGAAAGAAATGAACTCTTATGTGCTTAGAAAAAATAGATATCTGTGAGTGGTGGAGTTATATCTGCATTTTGTAGTTTTTTCCTCCAGTTTTGAAATGTTCTCCAGTTAGATATAACTTTTCCAATTACAAAAAATTAACAAATGCTATTTTTTAAAAAAATGTTTGAGTGAGAATCTTGGTGGATATGCCTACGTGTAGAAATTTTACTTTTTCTGAAGGTGTTCCTTAAAAGAAGGTCAGATAAAGCAGAGATCAATCCATGTTTATTTTTATTTTTTGTAAGGCAAGGCTTGGTGATGATTTAAAAAAAAAAAAAAAAAAGCCAGACAGCCTAGTACAACATGGCCTGTTGAATTACAGGAACTTCATTCACCAGGTAAAATAATGCTCTAAACCAGATTCCCCATTGTATGTGAAAGGCCTTCATTTCCTCCCCAGATGATCCTAGGAGTAGCAGAGGCAGAAGCATCAGCTTCACAGAGGCCCCCAAAGCCATCTCCACATCTGCAGGTAAAATAAGGAGCAAGGACAAGAAAAAAAAAAAAATGTCACTGCCAATGTCAGCCTGGTTGAGAGTTCCCCACTAGGAACACCTCATTAGCTCTCTGTTTTACCCCCACCCGTGACAGACATTGACGAATACGGAGGCACTCCTCTCGTGCATTCGACCTTTAGCGATGCTTGTTGCCGGCTCTGTGAGATGCCCACGATACTGGCTTCAGTTAGAAACCGAACTCCAGTCCCTCTCAAGGTTTCCCAAAGGCACAACAGGTTACAGCAGGCTTCCCTTGTGCTTCTCACACCGTCGTGGGAGGAAGGAATGAAACACGTCTTCATGCGGTGTTTTCTCTCCAGCACAACCACATTTAGTGCCTCTGCATTGAAACCCTGGCCTCAGCTTGGAGAATTGGCTTCCTCCTATTGAAGACCCTGATATCTTATTGTCCCCCCCCCCGCCCCCGCACACACACACAGACACGTTTTTTTCTTAAGAGATATTAACCACAGAGGCTTTTATTTTCATCTCAAGTTAGCACAGTCTTCTCCAGGGGCCCTGGACGCCACCAAGACGGTCCTTCTTTCTCCCCGAGGACCCTGGGCTTGGCAGGCCACTCCCCCGTGGACTGGGCCTCCTGCTGTTCCTGGTGGCCCCGCATTCTAGGGGCTCACCTTGATGATTTTCAGAAACGTGTCCGGTTCACGTGCCTGCAGAAGCGCTCCAGGGGCACTGCCCACAGGGGCATTTAAGGCGCCATCGCCTCGTGCCCTCACCCAGGAGGCCCCCTGGGCTCAGCTGCCGGCTCCTGCGCAGCATGCTGCAGAGGGGGCCTCGCCATGCCTGCCACCCGGGAAGGTAATTAAATCGAAGCCGAACCGCCCTCCTCCCGAAGTCACGGAACGTTGGCGCTCCAGCCGGGTACCAATTAGAGGCAGCGAGCGCGGAGTGGCGCCTGGGCGCGCGGTTACATAAGCGCCCGGGGCCTCCGCGCCGCCGCCCGCCCGCTGCCCGGCCCAGACGCACGCCGGCAAGACAAATGCGTCCCCAGCTGGGCTTTTATCAAGATATATTCGCTCGCATTCCTAAGGTCATCGTAAACACTTTCATTGATAGTTTATTCGTGCGGGGTAGGTAAAACCAGCCACTTGATTTTAAATTACAGATTCTAACCCAGAAGCTTGTTGCTGTCAGATGAGCTAAAGCTACGAAAGAAAAGTGCTACACCGTTGCAGATGTAGCTTCCGGGCTTTGGGGGAATCAAGTCTATATTTATTTCTTAAAATGGATAGGAAGCTTGATTCTGTAGCTCACTCCTGTTTACTTGGCGGGATGCTTTCACGGAGGGGAGAAGCGGGATCACAATGTGGGAGATGTGTGCTACTGACAATGGCAAGGGGCGTGGCTTTGTGCTCTCCCTGGCTTCTAGCACAAGACTGAGCAATCTCCTTGTTTGTATAAATGGTTACATCCTTTCTATAAGCTAAGTTTGCATGGTTCCTCCCACCTGACAGAGAATAAGACAGCCAGTAGCGTTGATGGCCTAGAGTCCTGAGATCTGACAACTCTACATCTCTCCTAATTTGTTTCTTTTACAATTTCTTAAACAGTGCTACTGTGTACCAGACACTGTTCTAAGCCCTTTACAGATAACAACTCTTTTGATCTTTATAATAATCCTGTGGAGTAAATGCTATTGTGATCATCATTTCAAGTTTACAAATGAAGAAACAGAGGTGCCCTGGGATTGCTTAGTGTGCCCAAGGTCCGTAGCCAGTGACGAGAGAACCAGGATTGGAACTCAAGCAGTCTGGTGCCCTGGTCCATGCACCTAACGATCACCGAGTGCTGCTGTACACTTACTAAATGTCTTGGGCAAATCTTTTGACTTCTGTGCCAAAGGTCATTTTTTAAAAACAGGCACAATTCTCATTTTAGAAAATGGATTTTTGTGACGATTATGACAGTAATATTTCTGCAACTATTTGAATTATTTGCAGATTGAGAATGAGGGATTATCATCATTAGTTCTAACTATTGCCCCAGTGAATGCTGTAGAAAACTGCTATCTAACGATGTGTGTGTGTGTGTGTGTGTGTGTGTGTGTGTGTGTGTTGGAGGTGGAAAGGTCATTACGAGACATCCTTTGCCCCCGCCCAGTGCCATCCATTGATGGCAATAAAATGTGTAGAGAAAACTAACTTCATTTGGGACCATTCTACTAAGTAGATGATTCTCAGGTGGGAGATTATCCCTTTAATTTGGGCCTTCCCTGCTGGTAAATGTACCAATGTTCCCAGAGCAAATAATTCCAAGTTCTGTGTTGGCTGCATTGGAAACCCAGCTACAGTGAGCATACATATACAACATGGCCAGCACAATTTAACTTGGTTCTTCGCACCACGAATCTGAAGTCAATCATCAATGCTGAATGTTCCAGAATAACCCAGAATATTTCAAACATTCTGCCCCAGTGATCCCTCAAAATAAACCCATGCTTTTTAGCCTAAGCACACCAGTGTTTGCAGAAAATATGGCCACTGAAAGTCTTGGGGATGGGACCAAGGCAATGACATTCAATAACACACTAAATATTTCCTTCTTAAATTTGGTAAAGGTGCCATTTTGTATTTATCTGGTTCTCTTTCTGCAAGGGAGAATAAATGTGTTGAGTATAAATTACTCTTGTTATATCCCTGAGAATAAGATATTTTAACAAACTGTTTCACAGGTGAAGGAATGTGGGTTACATTTGATAATCCTTCAAATGGTTTGAACTAGTAATAGTGTGTGTGGTTAAGATAGCTTTGATGAGAAGATCCAACCCATGCAACCCTTGGCTGTCCATTTTAAGACAAAATGGTTTTAACCAGTTCCACTCTCTTCCTGAGCTCTCAGATGCACAGTCAAGGAAAACCAGATGTACAGTCAAGCTTCCAGGCAAACACATGCTTAGAGCACCGGCAACTTCATGTGCATACATGCATGTGCCCAACACACCCACTCACACACCACTCAAAGAGAAAAAGTAAAATTTAAAATCTTTTATCTTTTTTTTTAGAAATTATGTTTTTTATTGATTTGAGAGAGAAAGAGAAAGAAACATCCACATGAGAGAGAAACATCTATTAGCAGCTTCCTGCAGGCCCCCTACTGGGGATTGAGCCTGCAACCCAGGCATGTGCCCTGACCAGCAATTGAACTGGTGATTTTTTGGTGCATGGGACTACACTCAACATACTGAGCCACACTGGCCAGGGCTAAATAGTCTCCTTAACATTTAGAAATGCTGGAAATTTTCAGTGTGTGGAAAATCACTCATTTGGAGGACTTTTGTATACATATTTTATAATGATATGCATGTGTATGTTTATTTGAATTACATATACTTGGAGGTGGGGGAGGGCGTCATCTTTTCAGAGCTACTATAACTTGAACCTAGACATGATTGGAACTAATTTTACTTGGGGGAATTCACATTCACCAGAACTGCTCCTTGTAAGGAGCAAGCTTTGACTGTAGTAATATAAATCTTGCACTGTGTTGAGTACACTAGTCCCCAAAACTAGTCCCCAAATGCTTTTTCTTATTTAGACCCTTGGTAGGCAGGACCCTTAAGAGAAGCGTGTTAATGAGATCAATCACAACAACACTTCTTGTTCTGTAAAATGTGGCCATGTCAATGAGTACTCACAGTTTTTTATCAAATACTTCAGGTGCAAGCTAACTGTTTTAATCGTTCGGGGATTCCACCTTTCCTCAGCCAGCAGAGTTAGACCTCTAACCAGACTTCTGCATTCCAAGGCTAACGTGTAGGCCAATCGTGTTCAACCTCGGTGGCTGAGGGATGATTCAGAGTTTCTTTTCTTGCTTAGAAACTACATAGTCATAGTTGGATTTGGGATGAGACTTGTAGGTGTTGAAGCTGACATCAAGTCCTACCTTCTGCAGCCATACGTTTTTTTCTTTATTTTGATTGTTGACACTATTATAAATGTAATCCCCCTCCCCCCCCCACCACCCCTTTACCCACCGTCACCCAAGGAGCCATAATTTTGTTTCTCCAGGCAACTGCTTACTGGAGATCCTGGCATTCCTGGACACAGTTTGGCAGCCACTACATTGAACGTGATCTAGTTTATTAACCCGTATTGTTAGTTCACCAATTATTGCCAGTTTTGGCCAACACAGTATTTACATTGCAAAAATTTGTTTTTTACTTTCTAGTCTTGTTTCAATTTTTATACGAGCATTTCTTGAGGTCAAAACAAGCAGAGCATGCCTTTCAGGGATGGCTCTTGTGTTTGGGATTTATCTAAGCTGCCTGCTACACCCACACACAGACATCCACACTCAAGCTAATATCATTGGCTCAGTTCATGAAAAGCACCCAACATCTGTATGGCAAATGAAAATACAAAGAGCGCGTAAGGATTGCTCACTGACATATAAACAGGGAGCCATGTCCATGTCTTGGGTACTACATTTCCGAGGAGAGACAGCCCCTCCACCAGGGAACTTCCTGGGAGAGAAAAAAAAACACAAAAAAACCCAGCTTTTATTAATCAGCTTTCTCAAGTCATTCAATGTATCCTGTAACCGCCAAAGGTTTCTTCTGCTTTCTTGCAGCTGTTGTACTTTTTGCTGAGCGCCCTGGGCCTGATGGTCTGTGTGCTGGCCGCGGCGTTTGCTGCCCACCACTACTCACTGCTCACCCGGGTGACCTGCGGAGCCACACTCGACTCCTGCCACTGCAAACTGTCCTCCTCCGAGCCGCTCAGCAGGACCTTCGTGTACCGGGATGTGCCTGACTGCACCAGCATCACTGGCACTTTCAAAGTGTTCTTACTCACCCAGATGCTTCTCAACTTGGTCTCTGGCCTTGTGTGCTTATTGGCCTGCTTTGTGATGTGGAAACACAGGTACCAGGTCTTTTATGTGGGCGACAGGATGTACTCCCTGACAACTTCCGAAGGCCAGCCGCCAAAGGTCTAACATTCTTGCTCAAAGGTGGGAGAGGAAACAGCACACTGACTAGCCGAAGTTAAAACAGAAGGAAAGAAAAAATATTCACTGTTCTAAATGGATATCTTTATATTTTCTTCGAGTTTCTATAGTATTTTTTACAAACCCTTATGGGAAGAATCAGATCCAAATTGACTTTGGGATATTAAAAGGACACGGAATAGGGAAAGGATAGCACAGATTTATCTTTACAGCCTGGAGTTTATTCCTAATACTCATTTTATCCATTACTTTAACAACCTCTTTTCCTGTTAGCCTAGTTTGATGATGTGAATTGGCATTTCAGGCCCAGCTAAGTTTTGTAGTCTGTTCCAGGCCCTCCTACCTCCCACCAGGACACCCTGGCTATGCTGAGGAGAAAGGAAGGGGGTGGGGAACAGAGCTGAGCAGCCGGATCAACCCTCTATTTTCCACGGTAGTGATGTCTTCAAGGCACAAAACAAGTCAAAGGAGCAGAGTAGGAAAGGAAGAGACTTTGCAAAAGCCTAAGTAATTATGAACACCTGGGCTGGGGCGGCGGCCTTGTCCCCTCAGCTCCCTCAGTTCAGCTCTATAAGTAGATCACTTACTAAATGCTTGGGGTGATCGTCTGTGTTTCGATAATTGAAAGTTGGTAGTCGTTGTATTCTTAATGATGTAGAAGGTTTAAAATAATTACATTATGCTTCTATTCTCTCATCTAAAACAAATCATTATAACCAATTTCTAGCTAATTGTTCATTATAATTATGCTCAGAAGTCTCTTTAATGAGCCCTGGCTGTACTTAGGTAGCACAGTCGGTACGAGGAGACACGGTTCTCACAAGAGAAGAGGCTTCAAGATTGTTTCTTCTGAAAGCCAAGCTTTACAAGGGAGACACATTTTTTTTTTATTAATAGCTCAGGTTAAATATACTCATTTAAACAAAAACAAGAGCATTTGGAACAGGAATGGTTATACAAATAGCACATTTGTGATGTGTTGCAAAGTATCTCTCTTGGCAGCTAAGTACTTTTGAGGAAGACTTGATAATGCCAATGTGTTTCATTCATGAAACTGCCTTTGATTTTCAATCCTATGATTGACTTGTTTGCACAGTCAAGCTACACACTGAAGACATTTTGAAGTCCTTATATGAGCATTTGCACCCTGATTTGGAGGGTACTTTTTATTTGGGTTTGTTTTTAAGCAAATAACATGAAAAAGCACAAGTTCCCTATGGTGGGAAACTTCTCTCTGGCTATTGCTGTTCTTTAATTTGGAACAATACCGATGTTTTGAGGAAGGAGCTCAGAATGTAAATTCATGAAGCATGAATGTTTTACCAAGAACCTTTTCACTCTGTTGAAAGTGGAAATTCAAGATAATAACTGAGTTCAGTTTGCCTCTCCACATTGCTTATATACTTTACTAATTATGAAATTCTACCCTAAAAGAAAACCATTTTCTTGTTTGCCTTAGAAAATAGATGAATAATTCCACTGATGGTGATAATAGTGTTGATTTCCACACACTGTAAATACTCAAATAAAAAGGAAAACATTAAATCAGTTAGTTGGAGGATTGTAAATATCTTTTATGTCCTCCAGATAAAGCACCTGATTAGCAGATGTTAAAGCTTTTTTATGTATTAACTTGCTTTTTAAAAAAATGTCCTTCCGACACACTGGCCCAGGCCAAGAGGGCAATTAGAGGGCGGAGGATAAGCCTCTGGGGCAGATGTCTGATCACACACAAGAATCACATCGACAGAACACACGCCAAACACCCCGCTGAGGACCTGAAAAATGCTTTGTGCCGTTAACACACACACACACACACACACACACACACACACCAAAAAAAACCTCGACAGTGGAATCCATTCTGATGTTGACAGTTTTTCATGTAAAGAAGAAAGTGACTGAGACTCTGAAACGTGGTAGGCTGTTCCTTACAGAGTGAAAAACTGGTGCTTTGACGCTAATTTCCATGAACCCGGCGCCACTGGAGGAACTTTGACAACATTTCACAGCAAACACTACAGATTTTTATATTCGAAAATTAGAATTCTACCCATCACTGAGGTGCTCTACGCTTCACAAGTGACTCACAGGGTATTTCCGATAGTAGAATACTCTAGCTGATGTGCTTACATTCTCTGAACACCGCAACAGTAAGAACTGACGTGACGATAAGCTTGATAATAATCAGGATGTATATATATATGATGGGGATTTTGCTATTGTGGAATCGAATTATTCTTAAATCTCCAAAGAAAGGAAAAATTGTAAGTGAACGAAAGGAACATAAAAAAGGAAAAACAGAAGGAAAGAAGCAAAGACTCTTGTTTTGCTAACTCGCTGTGTATTGATACGCGGAAGAACTGTGTTGCCTGTATAACAAACTGCTTTGGGCTTGATTTGAAGTATTTTGAGTTTATGTTTTGCAAATATTGAAGTTACGATAACAGCAACAGAAAAAGAACAGATACGCAGCTTTACACTTAGCAAAATGTTACATTTAAAATCTGACAAGACGCCAAGATGGTGACTGTCTCCTCTGCACCATAAAACAGTGAGATTTGCGCAATCCTCCTCCTCTTCCACCTCCTTCAGGAGAATTAAATGAATCAAGACTTTGGAAAGGGGAAATAGCCTGGACTTGGCAGGACTTGAAATAGGAGGAATACAGCAGCCTAAATGTACAGACTCGGTAACCGAGCCCACTCAGTCGGTCTGTGCCTTCACGTGACTACCATCTGTGCCTCCCCCGCTCCATCCAAATTTGTGTAGGCAGCTCCTTGGAGCCAAGCCTAAAAATATAGCTACACTAGGCCCTAGAAACTGTAGTCAAGTAACAGGCCTAACTTTTCTCCTTCTTTGGATTAAAAATCTGTATGATCTCTCTTGAGGGGTTTCTAGCTGTACATGTCAACGTGTTGTTCTGACAGCGAGGACCTATTACATGTGTGTTCTCTATTCATGTTGAGGACATCGGAATCTTTTATTATTCTTTTTTTAAAATATATTTTTATTGATTTTTTTTTTTTTTTTTTTGAGAGAGAGGAAGGGAGAGGGAGAGGGAGAGAGAGATAGAAACATCGATGCAAGAAACATTGATCAGTTACTTCCTGCACACACCCTACTGGGGATTTAGCCCCCAACCTAGGCAGTGCCTGGACCGGGCATCGAACCTGAGACCTCTTAGTGCATGGGATGACACTCAACCAACTGAGCCACACTAGCCAGGGCTCTTTTATTATTCTTATACTTCCCCTCTTGCATGCGGTATATCTTGAATATGTTTATAGGTTTTTAGTAAAGGGTGGGGTAGAGGGTATACAGAGGAAATTCTGAGGGACAATGATGAGCAGCAGTATTTAAGGGTAATCAGAAAGGAACTTAAAAGTTGTTCTGAAAAACTGATCAAATCCTACTTTGACATTTTGTTGGGATTATCTCTGGACCATTGCTATGTAGCCATAAATTTCTATAAATCATGTTGGCTCTCAGTTCTTACCACACTCAAATAACTCTATCATGTTTTTAGATGCACACTGTATATTCAGGATAATGTTAAAAAGAGTTGATGTCCAAATATATTGACTCACAGTGGAAACATTCATCTGGATGAAGACTCAGTGGTTCAGCCTGTGAAATGAATACCTTGATTTGTTTCCTCTGATTTTCTAGTACTTTATTATCTCAAATGATTATCCCCTTCAAAAATATTGGTCTGTACTTTGGTGGTGTGGTTTCATTCTTCTGGCATTGATGAAACAGAATAGAAAACAGTATGTTTGAGGTGGTTGTTTTTAAAGGGGATGTATATCATGTGGATTTTCTTTGTTAATAAAATTTTCATAATCTCTGAAAACACTGTGTTTGGATGCACTTTAAAGTGATGGCACATTGCACATGAACTGGTATATGTATAGTCTCTCAGGTTCTTGTTTACTTAAAAAACCTGGCTTTGGAATAGACCAGGACTAGTATTCATGTTGACTCCTTTGTTCCAGGACTATCTTTGTTTTGGTATGCTGCACCCATCCTAGAAGTTAAGGTGGTAAATGCTCCCCAGGCAAAGGAGCCTGAGCTGGAAAATATCTTGCCAAAGGTACTTAGAATGCTGATCTTCATTTATATCCATTCATGTCAAGTAAAGCCTGTTCTCTAAAGAAAGGGATACATGCTGAGTGTCACATGTTCAATCACATTATACATTTAGTTATGTGGAAAATCAGATGGTCTTCCATTTCAAATCTGAACACAAGGAGCCCCTCCCCCCCTTTTTTAACCAACTCTAAACTATTTAAATACTTGACTATACTGTAAAATGCAGTGATTCTGTTTGTTTAATTTAGTTAGAAAAGTTTGTAGAATGCAAAAGGAAAAAGAGAAGGATGTAGGACACACACTCTGAGCTGGATTTCATATCCTTATTGTCAGGGCTGTAGGGTCTAGGATTGGAAATCTGCTACTTTCTGGCTCTGTGATTTTGGATAAACCATTTAGTCTTTAAAAAATTGTTTTTTCTTTATTGATTTTTAGAGAGAGAGGAAGGGAGAGAGAGAGAGATAGAAACATCGATGAGAGAGAACACCAATTGGCCACCTCCTGCATGCCTCCCACTAGGAATTGGGCCCACAACCTGGGCATGTGCCATAATCGGGTATCAAACTGGCGACCTCTTGGTGCATGGGTCGATGCTCAACCACTGAGCCACACCTGCTGGGCTAAACCATTTAGTCTTTAGCTTCCTCTTTTGTAAAGGGGAGAAAAACATCATTGCCCCACAACATCATGGGAAAGTTTAGTGAAAGTTCACTTAGCAAAGTGACTGGCTCATAGAGGGAGCTTAATACACGTTTGATGTCTTTTTTTCTTAGCTGAGGTTTACTAGGCGTGTGACATTTCTCAAGCTTTGACGCAGGCTGCTGTCCCCACATCCAACTATAAAAGGAGCTCTGTTTTGCTGTCCTCTCTGGGACTTCCTTTTTATAAACTAGAAACATTAGCAAATGGGCCTCAAACAGAAATTCTGCTTTTACAATAAGATAGCACCAGGTCTTACTGATGCTACCTCACAACATTATGTGCTGGTTGGGTCCCTATTTGTTGGTTTATACATCTGGATGTCTTCTCTTAGTTCTTCTCCCAGGTAGAAGTAGAAGCTGAGACATTTCTCCTGATTTTCATACTACCTCTAATTTGTTGTTGTTGTTATTCCTCACCCGAAGATATTTTTCCATTGATTTTTAGATAGAGTGGAAGGGAGGGAGGGAGAGAGGGAGAGATGCACACACAGAGAGAAAGAGAGAGAGAGAGAGAGAGAGAGAGAGAGAGAGAAAGAAAGAAACATAGATGTGAGATAAAACACATCAGTTGGTTGCCTCCTGCACAACCGTGACCAGGTATGTGCCTTGACTGGGAATCAAACCGGAGACCCGTCAGTCTGAGGACTGATGCTCTAATCACTGAGCCAAACCAGTCAGGGCCATATTACTTCTAATTTAATATATTAGAAGCATGTGTAATGTCAACTTTTAAAAACAAAACTTTATTGAGGTTTGGTACATTATCAGTCCATAGTATACTAGGTTGTAATATACAAGCAGTTATTTATTTAAAAACCAACCTTCAAGTGCCTTTGTATGCTTGGTTATGTGGGTCACTGATTCTCAGTCAAGAATCATAAAAAGATTTATTTTTTAGTATAGTGAGAAAACACTAACTGGAACTTCATTCTCCAGGTTAGATATGAAAACACTCACATGAATCTTTACTTTTGTGGCAAATTTAATTATTGAAATTTTATAGCCAGGAATCTACTTTTTCTCCTAATAGAGTTTATCTATCTTTATAGTTCATAATACATTATTGAAAATTATTTCTTCATTTGACACATCTATATATTTTATAAGTTAATCTTTATGAGGTGCAGTGCAGGACTAATATTGGCTATGGTATTTTTTAAAAATTCAGATTGTAAGCAAATGAAAATAAAACTAATGTGTAGGGATGCCAGCTTGGAGACATTCATTCTGTCGTTTCTCTCCAACAGATATTTATATATGTCTATTCCAAAGCTTGGGTTCTTAGAGGAAGTCTTTCTTTGTTGTTTGGGAAGATCCTTTAACCAAAGGGATACATGCACTCACTCATCTTTATTCTTGGGAAAAAGCAGATACATGAGCAATAATCTAAGTACACAGATTTCAACTGAGACACAAAGTCTTCAGTTGAACAAGATTCTTTGTTGGGGCGGGGCGGGGGAGAGGAGGCCTGGAGATTCTTCTGTGGGCCTGTGCCCATCCTTCGCCTGGCGTGGAAGCCTGCTGGAGAGGTGACAGAGGTCTCTGTGACGGGGCCCAGGGCACCTGCTGCGGCCAGGAGCTGTGGAGGAGGTGTGCATCATACCTGAACCGTGGGATGTCAGCAGGCACTTTGGGGCCCCTACACCCAGAGATTTTGGCCTGTGTGTGGAGAGTTCCACTTACCCTGCTTGCGTTCCTACTCAGACCCTCTCCCTAGAACTCTCACGGGGTAGTCTTTGCCTGACCAGCTGTGATTGTAGGGAGTAAGAGGATGACTCTCAAGGGACACGGGGAGCAGTGGCACTGGTGACCAGAGAAGATGACTGTCATCTCATGCGTCTACCCCAAACTGGTCTCCCTGCATCTTCTTGGGCATCTGTTTATTAGACCATCGTTACCCAGCGAATGCCTGAAAGTGGTGTGGTGGCCACGGCGGATTGTCGGAACCAGAGGAACTAGAGTCTGAAAAGTACGTGACGAAAGTTGGCACCAATCGCAATGCAAGCTTTCTGTTCTTGTTCACTC